GTCTATGATCTGCATTGAAATTAGGCTAGATAAATATAGTGGAAGAAAAGAGGAAAAACAATTCTGAAAACAGTAAGGGAAAACAAAAGAGAAGTGTTGAAATCTTGTACCAATAGCTTGAAGATACCAGCTTCCTCATGGAACTTGGCGGCTACATAGTCAAGCAACTCCATCTGATGTTCACCTGAGGAGTTGTCAAATTAATTTAGAATCAGAAAGAAAAGCTGTGAAGCAACAAAAGCCAGATTTCCACTTTGTATTTTAACACATGACTTTAAATGTCTACACTATTTATTGTTCCACTGCTAGCAGTTTTAAACCAATGTCCAACAAGCTGCCTCTGCGATACACAGTGCTGCCTATGCTTCTGCAGGTTTGTTACACTTTACCCAACTAGCAAAACTTCTCCATGAAAAGTCTCACATACTGTGCATCAAGACAACCTTTTGTTGTGTGTTGGAAGCTGAAAATCAATATAAACATTTGAATTCCTTGTACAATTAGATAACAGAGAAGACTGTATTACTCAGTGTTCATCTTCGTGTCATTTTCAGACAGTAAAGGCCCTGTTAAGTTTTCTTGAGGTTTTGACATAATGTCTTGTCACACAGTGCATGAAGTCTTCTCTATAAGGTTTTATTTAGAAAATCATAGAGAATTTCTCAAAAACATTTATAGAATTAGCTTTTTCTTAGAATATTCAGGCAGTCACAACTGTGTAATCACTGTTACTTCCGAGGAGCAACAGATACCAAGGTGCTACACTGACACCTATCCCATACCTGGCAGACTTCACTTAATGTTTCTGAAAACTGCAAAACTTTATTGTTTATGCAGTGCAACTGTGCTGAAATACTTACACTGAGCAAATGTGCTACAGTGCAGCGCAAGAAGCAGAAAAGGGAAGCAAGGTTGTAACTCCTTTTGCTAGCTATGAAACGTTCTTTATGTTTTTCAGTGGGAAATTTCAGCTAATAAACAGAGAACCATTAAAATAGGAGACTTAGAGGAAAAAAAAAGGATATTCTGTCAGTTGGGGTGGTGGTCTTACTGGTGTATGCACGTGCATACAGCACGTTGTCAAGTACTGCATCGTGGTCAACACTGAAGCGATCAGCAATGTCCCGCAGTCGGTCCGGCCGGCTGACATTAGTCATCGTTAAGGATTTCTCTTTGTATAAACCGTGCTCTGAAAATAATGCAACCCCCTTCCAAAATAGAACTCTGAATAAATAAATAAAAGGACTATGTATTTTGATCTTGGAGAAGACTTTGACTTTTCACACTGTCCCAGATAGCCTAAAGATAGTTTAGAGCTCATGGCCATTAATTATTTTGTGCTTGGGAGACTTTTTGGACATAAGGATTTTTGTGCTCTAGAAACTTAGCAGTGAACAAAAACTATTTATCCTCAGTCTACAACAGACATAAAGTGTAAATGGTGTTTAGTACTCAGATGAATTGCTTTTGAAGTATATAGAAAAGCTTCCATCACATTCTGCCACAAAAAAGGTGTATTCTCGGTGTATTAGATCTCCAGAAAAACTGTGAAAATCTGTATCCTAACCTAAACTAATCCAGGTTAGATTGCATGAAATGACAAGAGATAAAAACTCCAGCCTTCTGGCCACTACCCACTGTGCTGTCCAGGTTTCAGCATTAGCCATTTCTGAAAAGAGTAAACTTAATGACTTTCCCTCATGTGTGATGAAGTAGGTTAGATACTATAGCATGATATTTCACATGTATTGTATTCACATGTGAAATACCTGCTATTTGGTTATATTTATAACAAAATGAACCATCTTTCCAGGCCATCATACCTGTGACTTTCAACAGTCTGAAAGATACAAAGTGTTTTCAGTATCAATGAAGATAATCTTCCCACCTGTGTAGCCATCTGGTCCGGGAAGCTGAGCTGTCACTAGAGTGCATCATAGAAGAGCAAAACGAAAAAGTGATAAAAAAAGAATGTTTTCGTGCTCTATTATTATTTTCAGTAAAACACAGTCCATAACAAGAATACAAAAAAAAAAAATCCCACTAATTTCTACTCAGCATGGAAATCAAGAGTAAGTGAAGTTTTACTGCCATCTAGAAAACAAATTTGAGCCACTTTTTCTATGCTGGAGATCAGATGAGATTTAATCAGTGGTGTCAGAACTGTGTTTTACTTACTGCTGTCACTAAATGTTTGCATTTTACATTCAAATACTTATGAATATTATTAAGAGTTATTTATACACAAAACATCCTGTAAATCCTTGGCCCCAAATTAATGATATTGATTTTTTTTTCTCAGTTCCAAATTGTATGATCAAATAATTATTTGGATATTAATCTTTGCTGGTACATGAATAGTTAGTGACTATGGTTTTACAGCCTTGGTAGTGAATAAATTATTCAGTTCATTCAGTTGTCATCACTCAGGCTAAAGGATACAACTCTGCTGACTAATTTGGTCATTAGATTGAATAAATGGAAGAAACCCCTTTTTTTTTCCCAGAAGGATCCATAATACCCATTATAACTTTTTTAAGTGAATGTTTATTCAGTCTCTAGTAACTATATTTCAACTGCATTAATAGCTACATTAGCTATTATTTACTATTATTTTTATGCATTGAGATGGCACTGAGGCATTGAAGCCCTGCTTTGCTTGGCACTTCCAAACACGGTAACTGCCAAAGTCTGTGTTTGTGCAGTTGATGTTGGCTAGGAGTATGCTATGCCCTTTCAGAATGTCATATTCAGCAAATCATATTGAAACCAGGAAATTAAAATAGTTACTGAGAAAGAACCTTGGTTTTGCCCCTTTTAAACAATGTCTCCATCTGCCCATAACACATATTCTGCTGTGTATTTTTAGATAGCTTCATCGGTTTCTGTGAAACAGTCTGTTGCCTTCTCTCTCTTTATAGCAAGACTTGCACTGATGCGAGCAATACTTTTATGAGAGTTCTTTACTCAAACACAATTAATGGATACAGGAGTCAGCAAAGTCTTTTAGAATGTATTTCTAGAGGATTATGACTTGTATCTACCTCTGTTGAATCTTGACATCTACAAAAGATGGACTCAGACAGAAATTCTCAGTATTTAGACACCTACCACACAAGGTGTGAGATAGCTGAGTTTTTCCTGTCCTGAACTCTATTAAATAAAGAAAAAAAAGGTCATTTTTTCCCGAGTTTGTCAAATTCCTGCATTATTTGAGTAAGAAAACCTCTTTTGTTACCAAAATTAATCTGCATCTCTGTCTTTTACATCTTTAACTCCAATTAAATTAGGTTATATTATGTACAATAGAAATCTCTTTCATGAAAAAGTAAAACCTGAAATGCTTTAGTTTGCAATATATCATGCTTGATTGCTAAATTCATTTCTATTTTTCTACATGGAAGTTAAATTCCACAAGGCATCGATGGTAAAGCTGTTAACGGGGGAGGAGGAAAGGGGATTGGTTCATTCCACTGACCAGACTGAGTTTCATTTTTAGTAAAATGATCAAGATGTTTCTGATGACTAATCTCATTTTATCAAATTGTTTGAGTCTCTAGTACATCTTTTCAAAAGTGAAGATTACTGTGTTTCACAAACAATTATTACTGTTGTTGAAATATTAACCACCAACTGATCAAATTTAGTATAATTGTAGATTACGTGCAATTTCTTAATGTTATACAAAATTCAATGCATCCTAAGTGTGCATAAAGAGACTATCTTTTGCGGCAGTTTCCCTACTGGAAAGGAACAGATCATGTATCAGGGAAATCCTTTGTATATAATATTGTTAATAAAAGTATTAATAATGCTATGATGCAGTGAATTGCCCTGGCCCTAGGTCTAATGATTACTCAGCTCAAACTTAATCTGCAAACAAATCAAAGGAAAAAAAAAAAGTGAGGGAAAATACTAAAAGTGGAATCGTTCTTTTTGTACTCATGCAGGGGCTTATCTGTTATGACTACAGTGTGATAAGTTTGATAGTAGAAATTCAGCTTAATTTAAAATCAAAATTATGCTGCAGTTCTTTACCTGCTCACTAGAACTCATTAAATGAGCTTCTTCTTACCTCCAAAGGCCTCAGTGATTGCCATGCTTTCAATCCCACCACCCAGCAGCTTACTGGAGAAAGGGAGAGAATTATGATATACTTAGGCCCACAAAAGCACAAGAGGAAAGTAAAAAAGAGAAAGAAAAAGAAAAAGAAAAAGAAAAAGAAA